GTTGATTTGGGCTTTCATGTATTGTGATATCCTCAGCGTGGTTTGTAAGAATCTCCTTTGCTTAAGTGAGTTCAAGAAATAGTTCTGCTAGTAGTTTTCTTGTTGACTATGATTGAAACCCAAATACGGTGTTGTCCTTTGCAAAGAACACTCTAGAGAAAGACCAAACAATGTCTCTTTTTCATAGGTGAGGCCGACCACCTTGAAAGCTTAACTTCTAGATTTCCTTGTGTGGACCAAATGCCCCGAGACCATTGTCACTTTGGGATATGCCCCCCCACCATCGGGCTAGCTAGATCAGATGACACCAAATTTACTTCGGGCAGCGCGGATCTTTTGTTCGCCTTTTGTTTGTGATTGGACTTTGCTAGCGTTTTTAATATTGTATTGTGTGCCGACCGTTGCGGATGTGGTGTTGCCTCTCTTGCATTGAAGACAACCTCCTGCTTCATCCAAAAAATAACAAGCAAAGATTCGCAACATAATCTGGCAATAGAGATTGTATTAAAGCAAAGCTTACTCATTTGTTTTCTTCTTTGCTTATGCACTCAAGCATTCTCTTTCCCTAACTATGAAAGGACATTAGCTTATTAATTTCACATGTGAGTAAAAAGGGACAACCACTAGATGGTGAACAATTGTATACAGATCAACAACTAACCAAGGCTTTTCATAGGCGACTGATGGTCTAACACTAGTCCGAAATATAATGAAGAATAAGATGTTGATCACAAGGAGACAGAAAGAGAGGTCCCGAGCTCCATAAATGTAGTTTTGTTATTTTATTTTATAGGCAAGATAGGAGTTTTCGATATGCCGACCTCAGGAATCATGTCACTGTCCTTGCAGGCTTGGGGGCATCACCGAAGGTTCGTTTCGGCATTAGCTTTCTCTGGGTGGGAGCCGCTTCATGATAATGCCCACTAGAAATTTTTTATTTTCATGGGCCCTCATTCACTCGGGCTTGTAAGTGGAAATAAAACCCATTTATTTTGACAAACGGTGGCTTGAATAGATGAGCTAGTCGATCCCGAGATGATGAACCACGCCCTGAGTGATTTGCCAACCACCTTCCTTCTTAGTTACAACGACTAACTTTTGGTTTGTTTCTATGGCAAAAGGCAAACATAAAAAAAAAACAATTTAACCCCATAATTCTTCGAGGTAGTATCCAAGGGTTCCACGGATGGCCGAACATAGTTGCCATGCCGAGACATGTATCCCATAATTTCTCTATTATATGTACAGGTGCATTCTAAGAAACAAATATGGGAAACAATCATATACATCATTAAGTGACGAAAAAAGTATTATTTGAACTCGATTGAAACATGTGAGAAATGCACTTATCTTTGGATCCATCAAATTCGATCGGCAAATATAGATGACAAGCAGCTCCTTGTAGATTCTTGCGACATCTTGTAATGACAATGACATCCTAAATGTGCTCACTGCCGAGGCCTGACCCTCCTTCATGGGTAGAGATAACTTTGGTAGAAGAGCATTACTCATATAAGTTCAAACACTGGTCCATGATTTGAGGGCGGCATGCTTCTTTGAATCTCAAACTTCTCACCGTCTACATAGCAGAGAGACACTCCGAGCAATTATCAGTGAGTAGGTGCTCGAGTCCACTGCTGGGTAATGTACCGACCAAGCACATGGATTTTCTAAGTCTGAGCAATTGCATAACTTGTCGCAAGCTGAGTGGGTTTTAAGTTGTAGAAGCCTATGACCTTCTTGCTCCCATAAACACTCATTCTTTGACTCAATTGGTCAAGACCACCTTGGGTTCAAACTTTGCAACAACCCCATAACGATAGGCGAAGATGACTTTCATGGTGAATGATGTGTAGTTTGTTCATAACGCCGAACCATCTGTATTGCAACTTTACACCAGTGTGTCGATAAGCATGCCACGANTGCAACTCTACACCAGTGTGTCGATAAGCATGCCACGATGCTTGATTGAATGTCCAAAGGAACGGCTCCTTGAGGGAGAGAGTTGCAGGCTAATTAGTTTGAAGGACTTTGGGGGAGGTCGTTCTTTCATGATGATATTGAGCCCCTCTGGATTTCCGGAGGTGAGACCGATCACTACTTAGTGATTCACCCAAACTTGTAGGCAACCCTGAGATCACCCCAATGATGAAGAGATGGACCAACCGAGTTCAGTACTCCTAAGTCAGCCCTGCAACACTAAGACAACAAAAACAATTGTACTAAAGGAGCTTTGCTCCCTGTTAGTCATATTAGGCAAAACTCCATGATTTTTGCTATCTGTGTGCTTGTGTTTACATGCATAGATTTGTCAAGTGAGCAAGTGTAATCTTCGTCAAGTGACACTGGAATAAATACGACAATCATTTTAGTCTTTGTTAATGGTGAAACTTCAAAATGTGGTTCCCCACTAAAAGAAGCGAACTTGCTCTCGGCCTAAGCTTAAACTTGTTGTAATTGTAAGAGAATGACGAGTTATGGGTCTTATGCACCATAAGTCGGCACTTAAAGTGAGACCAAATTGCACTAACAACCCCACAGGGAGAAACTGTGTTGGGTCCTTTTACTGTGTTTGCACTTTACATATGCCAGCAACACAGAAAGACTATACTTCTATGCTTCATATGGTGGCCTACATGGCATTATTTGAATTTTATTTAAATATAAGTGGAGGGAGACCACTTATCTTTGTATTCGCTAAACTCTTGCATAAATATATAAGAGATATTCCGACGTGGATAATCACACGAAATAATGATGAGTGTATCCTGGGCTCCATGAGCGAACAAATACGAAGAAACCCAACCAGCCGAGTTATCAAATATCGACTGCTCTTCTATGGTCAAAATATTTTTTAGATCCCAGAACTCTTCGATACATCAATTATGTGGGACTGTTATGTGCACATCGACACAACTTGCTTATCTTTGTTTGCCGAAACCCATCCGCAGAACATAAAAACACCCGAGTTCCATAGACATCCCAAACGAGTGATACATCGATCGGCCCCTATGTTGGCTTAGTGCCGATACACCTCTTCTTTGGACTCCGAGCAAAAGCTAAAGTCAGTGGCAGGATGTCTCCTTACACTAGAGGACAAGCCAATATAATGTAGTAATGAAACCAATTTGCTACAAAGGCCGAGTACCCATGGATGGGAGAGAATTGAGTCCGAGCTTCATAAATCGATCGGATCCGAAGGCGCAAGGATGCACAAATCATAACAAGGTTTGGACAGCACTCACGGACCAGAGATACGAAGATTTTGGAGCATACATGTATCGTTTCCCACAGACGGCGCCAAATTGCACGGGATAAATCCTGCAATAGTTTGAGATATTTCGAGGAGCGCCCCTAGTTTTCGAGTATAATCCAATCCGTGAGCTGCAAGACAGAAAGAGGTTAGAAGGACCCCCGGCGTTGAGCCAGGGGAGGCCCCTCCGATGCCTAAGTCAGTATCGCGATCAACACATGAATATGCTAGTGTATAAAATTAAGGAAATGGTAAAATGTGTGTGTGGAGTATGAAGTCGAGGTGCTCATACTTGAGGCCCCCTTTTTCTTGGGTCTTCACCCATATATAAAGAGAAAATTAGAGAGCTACTTACCATAACTTGTACAACTGTCAATGTAGGGAAATAGGGATAGACTAGACTGTCAAAACACTTATTACCTGTCATTATTTATTTTAGTAGGTTCCACTTATGATATATGTCAATTTGTTCATTGGGAGTGTGGCTGGTGGACCCACTTGACAAAAATGTCCCGCCAAGTTCATTAATAAAAAAAAATAAAAAAATTCACATCGAAATTTATTTTAATGGTTTGTACAGACTGAAATGATGCGTATGTGAGCATGGTTCAAGAATGAGTTGTTAAATCCTTGCCACACATTACTATTTGCTGCTCTTGCATATAACTTCTCAAAAATGAGTTGTAAAAACAAAAAAAACCCTATCTCTATTTGGTACTGTAAAAAAATAGAAAGATAAAAAATTGGAAGGATGAAAAATTTGAGGAATAGATAAAATATCATATTTAGTAAAGAAGAAAAATAAGATGGATGAAAAAGTCGATGGATAAACTTTTTTTCAAACTCATCAAAATCAATCTTTTCAAAATTGGAAGAAAAGTGTATGAAAAATTAATTATTTTTTTTAAAATATATATTATTTGTCTATATATCCGTTGATATATATAATTATACATATATTATGTATACATTAATATCATATATAAATACAATGATAAAATATGTATTTATACTTTTTTAAAATAAAAATTTTTAAAAATAAAAAATAAATATTTTTTCCATCTTACCAAATACAAAAAAAAAAAAATTAATTATTTTTATTTTTTATTCATCCAACCAAACATAAAAAAATAAAAGTGTATCATTCATTATTTCTTTCTTTGGAAGATAAAAAGTGTATCACCTCTACTTTCCATTCCTTCTAATAAAAACGGAATGTAAGAGTAGTTTAAGTGGTAACATGAACGAACTGTAAATTCAGACATTCTGAATTTGAATTTTAACAACTCTTTGGGGTCAAGCAACCATGAAGAATAAATCTCTCATGAATACCTTAATCTTGACATGAATGATCTGTTTTTGATTGGACCGGAGTGAGAATTAGTCGATGTGTATGTAAATTAATTTGAACACACTAACAGTTGAACAAAAAAAAATAAAAAATCCTTGCCACACATTTCTTGTTTGCTGGCCTTGCATATAATTGTGAAAAATGAGTTGTAAAAAAAATAAAGATTTAAAAAACAAAAATCAATGAGTTGTAAATAATAATGTAAAGATATTAACCAACACCATTGAATAAAGCTAAAATGGTAGTAAACAAAATGTGGGGGGTTCCCCACATAAATCGTTAGTTTGTTGGGGGCGGAATTGTAAAATTACAAAAATCATTTGAACACCTCATTTGAGTTGTCAATCCAGGCCATATACAACCCAAGGCGTCAAATAGAAGGGAAGAGGAGAGAGAGAGAGAGAGAGAGAGAGAGAAGCGACAGAAGCCGAAACCCTATGATAGAGAAAGTGATCTTCGATTTCCAATCTTAGTCTGCTATCCAGATCACATTGCAAAGATCTTCATTCAGGATAAAGGTCAGCACTATTTTCAATGAAATCTCTCCTAAATTGGCGTGTTTTGTTGAATTTTCTTTCGCCTTAGTCTATTCAGTTTGGTTGATGAGAGAATGTGGGTAAAGAAAAGAGGTGGGAATCGAGAAATATCGAGCTTCTGATTGTTATATGTTAAATCGGACCTGAGAGGAGTAAAAACAACAATCAGAACAAGTAATGAACAATAGTGAAGCGTTTGATTTGGATTTTTTTTTATTACAGAGTTATATGCTAATTAGTGATTTGTTGATTGAGATAGCTATACTTTTTTTGTTCTAATTTTCTTTCTTTTTACTGTGAAATTATCAGCATATTTGCAGAAAAATAAGTTGTTAATGCTCTTTATAAACTAAGTAGGACGATTTTTTATGGGTTTAATTCCAAAAAAAAAGAGTAAAACGGAGCTGTATTTGATCATTAGTAGATTAAGTCGGTTATTGATTGCTGACTCCTTTATACTGGAACAAGGGAGTCAGCCAACATACTCCAACCAAGCAAATAATAAACTTAATTTTCTTTTTGTTGTTACAGCAAGTGTGAAGGTATAACAATTACTATTACTTCCTAAACTTTTAATTCTGAGACTCCGAATCTCTCACTTGAAGTTTTTGATTTGTTGAAGACAAGCAAAAATGAAATGTCAATATAGTACTATTATTTACTTCTACACTCAATTGAGTATGGTTGGGTTGGATTCTCTGTTACTTTCCTAATGAGTATGCTGTGCAAGAGATTTTCATACTGGCATACTGATCTTGTGATTAAAAAAAAAANTGAGTATGCTGTGCAAGAGATTTTCATACTGGCATACTGATCTTGTGATTAAAAAAAAAATTTTCCCTTCTTTTTCATACTGGCATACTGATCTTGGGTTTATGTCCTAGTCATTTCTCCTTTAATAGTCTGCAGTTTTCTGATTAGTCAAATGTTTGGCTATTGGCCAAAGCCATTGTAGGACAATTGGCTGGCCTTTAAGGCAAGGGTGGGGTCCAGGTTCAATTTTCATTACTAAAAATGGAAACTCATAAGACATCTCCAATCCTTACCTAAACCCTTACTCAAATTTAAATTTAAGTATAAACAGACTAAAAACAATCTCTAGTTTTTTACCCAAACCCATATCAAATGAAGGGATACTCAAATTTTTATTCGAGTCATGGGAGGCTCAAATCTTTAATGGCCAAATTTTACTCTTTTAAAAAATCTAATAGTCATATTTCACCTTCCTTTAAATATGGGTTTATTTAACTTTAGATTTGATTTTGTCCATTTGAGTTCCTTGTATCAAATCAAGCTTTTTACTCAAATATTAACTCAAATTTGAGTCAAAATTGGCGATGGCCTTAGGTAAATCTATTTGAGGTTACTAGTGGCCTTTGTCAGGCCTGCATGTTGCTGTCTGTTCTTTCTCTGCACATATTAAGTAAATGCACAATTGTTTCTAGGAATTACGTGGTGCTAAGAACATGTTTTAAGTGACTGGGTTCCTTTGTTGAGAGAGGTTGCATTTCAAAATTGTTTCTCGAATTGGTGTCACCATCACCAAGCTATTGTAGCTATGTTTGATTTGTAATTGTTCTGATGTACTATTCGACCACTCAGTCTGGTCTCTACAGTAACACAACTGCTTTTTAGTTAAATTTCCCTTTTTGTGACAATGGCTTGCATTATTTGAACTTGACCTTCGAGGCTTTATGGCCCCATTTCAGACTGAAGAATTTCTGAGTGCCTACTGGCTTCTCACTTGTCTCTGATTATTTGACGTGAAATCATGCCAAATTATACTAAAACCCTTTTAGCTAGGTTTTAAATCATCACTATTATGTTTTATTACTTCCGTTTTCTTCCTGGCTTTGCCATTTTCGCCTTAGCTAGACAGTGAGTTTTTTTTTTCCACATCCTATATCTTGAGAGCTTAGGGTATGGATGTATGTTCTTGGGACCTTTTTGTATATATATTACTCAGGTAAGTTGGGCATAGCCCACTATTTTTTCAACATAATCAATCTATTGTGTTGGATTCTTCTAGTTATGTCAGCTTCTTGTATTTCAATAACAGAGGATCAACTTGATTTATGTTATTACTTTCTACATTTGTATTTGGAACCTTTTCCTTTTCCTTTCCATTCTTGTTATTGAATTTTTTTGCTGTTGTCTTATTGAATTGCCCATCATTTTGTACTATATTATGGCAGAGGTTGGTTGTGCTTGGGCTATGGAGAATTCCAAGGGGCCATCAAGCATCAGAAACATGATGTACAATGGAAAACATCCTCTACTTCCTCCTAAAAGTCCATTCCCTTGTATTTCCCCATCTTATGTTGAATATGTTCCAATTCCTGCAACCGGACCAAAGGGTTTCCCAAAACCTAGAGAGGGAAATTCGCACCACCAACGTACTTCCTCAGAGAGTTTTCTGATAGAAGAGCAACCTTCTTGGCTGGATGAACTCCTTAATGAGCCCGAAACACCCGTACGCAAAGCTGGTCATCGGCGTTCATCCAGTGACTCCTTTGCATATACGGATATTGCTAATGGGGCTTATGTAGATTATGTAGCTCAGGATGAATGCAAATTACAAAATTTAACTTCTGTACCTTCATGGGGATCTCAAGACTTTGATCATCACAAAGATGCGCGTCATGCAGCTTATGCAGAGCTGAACTCTTCGGGGAAGCCAAACATTCGGGCATGGGAATCATCTTTGCATTCAGCTGGACATCCTAGTGGCCTTCCCTCTGCAAGGGACAACGTCTTGCATAGCTCAGGATCATCGGGTACTTTACAAGAAGCAGATGGGGTTCTGTCCACGGCAATGGAAAAACAGAATCCAGTTCAATCAGGCCCACATGATCTGAAAATTTCTTCTGAAAGAATGGACTCTTCTGGTGCCAAACCTTCTGCATCTGAAACAGATTCGAAACGTGCCAAGCAGTATGTCATTCATCCTTTTTCCTTGCTTCTCTTTGTCATCGTCGTCTTTTGTTTTGTGTTCTTCAGGTTGGATTTGTGACTCAGGGTTGCTCCTTTATCTTCGTTGGTATTATTGAAATAATTCTAGCATGAATAACTTTTTGATAACAATCTCGATCGTCACCTTCTATTTAACTTCTTATCGCATGGGTGTACCTTTGCTGTTATTTCTAGGTTAAGACATGCATTTCACAATTTTATGGTCATATCACACTTTTTTGTTTTGTTTACTTGGCTGTCTCAAGTTCAGTTTTGATGCAATTCATGTTTTTTGGAGATGGATTTAAATGNCTGTTATTTCTAGGTTAAGACATGCATTTCACAATTTTATGGTCATATCACACTTTTCTGTTTTGTTTACTTGGCTGTCTCAAGTTCAGTTTTGATGCAATTCATGTTTTTTGGAGATGGATTTAAATATGTGTATACGTATGTATTCACAAAATGAAATTATTGGTGACAAAAGTATAGGATAGTTACACATTTGCAATGAATAATATGAACATGTTTGGCATCTGGAGAGTTGATAGTTATTTTCTAAGTGATGGAAATCAATATCCATTGTTGCAAGTATTCTTTACCTTACCACTTATTACATCATATATTTGCCAATTCAATGTGAAGATAATAGGCGTTGGAGAACACGTAACAGATTCTTTTGAGATAGTGGAAACAAAAGCACCTGTAAGATACATTGATGACATTTGGATGGTGACCTGTAAAATAGCTACTTTTTGTCGCTTTAACTTAGACAGAAAGGGATTTTTGTTCTTATTGGGCTCCATCTCTATAATTGGGTAATATCTTACCAAATACTTAGTCTTTTCCTTCTGTGTTGCTTTATTGCCAAAGTTGCTTTATTGCCAAAGCAACCAGGTGCACATAAGATCAAGGTTGAAATGCAATTAAAGACACATAGAAAGAGCTTATTGGTTTGGTCATTAAGATGCTGTATCTTTACAATTATAATGGAGGTGTACAGGTTTTCCCCTTGTGAACCTTAGCTCAGGGTCCATTAGTTTCATTGGAAATTTAGTATGCTGATTCTGTTTTTGCCAAATTAAGGGACACCTGTTCTCTGCTTCCTGCCCCTCACGCTAGGTGGTTCATGTTTAAGCTCATCTACCTTATTTAAGACAAAGGTATGAGACATTCTAGTATTTTGAGTTTCTATTTCCTGGCTGGAGTATAGAGTACCAGTTGGCAAGCTAGTTATGAAGGATGAAGTCAATGAACTAAAGGAGTTTACAGTTCAGAGTTGTGAGAATGATTAAGTTATTGCCGAGAAAAAATGGGGATCTGTTGACAACTTGCTGGTATGCTTCTCAGAGTATTCAAGGACATGTCTCGACTCTTGCTCATTTCTTGGGGAAAAAGTATGTAATGAAATACTTCTTTTGCTATTCAAACACCGTATGAAAAGGTCATTCATGTGCAAGATTGAGACTGAACAATAATAGATAATTAGACACAAGAAGATTATGAGCAACTATAGGAGGTGATAGATAATTAAACATTGTGACGAACAAGCATTTTAACAATTTTATGGGGGACAGCTAGAATGGGTCACAGATTCAGCACAATCAACCATTGCATCTTGCGTATTTTTCTTCAAAAATGGTTACAGCTGAATGGGACTGTGTCTTGTCCCATGAATGTACTCAATTTTCATTTCTTTCTTGGAAGCATGTCTGACATGTATCCAAGAGTATTTGGGAAGTATTGGATGTGTTTGAACTTTAAGCTCAAAAAATTTCTTTACAAACTATAGATACAAATCTTTGTTAAAATTGAAGGCTTTAAAGCTGTAACTTTGGTAATGCAAGTAGTGGCATAGTATCTAACGAACCACAAAAATGCAGGCAATTTGCTCAACGATCGCGGGTGCGAAAGCTTCAGTACATTGCTGAGTTGGAAAGGAACGTTCAAGCTTTACAGGCAAGTATCTGAAGTTTGGAGAAAGATAAATTTCATTTGGAAAGAATTGTACACGTATTTTATCCAATAGTGCTTATGTTACCTATTTTTATGAGGCAGACAGAGGGTTCTGATGTATCCGCTGAACTTGGATTTCTCAACCAGCAGAATCTTATTCTAAGCATGGAAAACAAAGCCCTGAAACAACGTTTAGAAAGTNTCCAATAGTGCTTATGTTACCTATTTTTATGAGGCAGACAGAGGGTTCTGATGTATCTGCTGAACTTGGATTTCTCAACCAGCAGAATCTTATTCTAAGCATGGAAAACAAAGCCCTGAAACAACGTTTAGAAAGTTTAGCCCAGGAGCAGCTTATCAAGTGTTGTAAGTTTCCATTATAAATGTTGTAATTTCTAATAGTCTGAAAACATTACCCTGTCATTATCTGCTGTTTGACTAGCAATTGTGATGTGCTGGAACAAGTGTGTAATCATGGTGTTGATTATTTCTTGAAGTATAATGTGGCTCAAAACTATGGGTATTGTGATGTATTAATGCTATTTTAAGGGTGAAGGAAAAGTTTTGAGCCATGGTTATATCATCGATTAGAAAGGACTTTAATTTTCATTAATGATTTGGGAAAAGTTTTGAGCTGAGTATCACAAATTTGGGATAATTGGTTTGACTAGGAAATTATGGACAATATTTGTATTAATGACTCGCAAGGTGTGGGTACGATTTGTAACGGCGGAACAACTATTGTGGTTGATTTTTGCCTCTTTCACAATCGAAGCAAAACTTAAGCAGTTAGACTTTCCCTCTATGAATATACATATACTATGTTTGAGTATTTTAGGATCTATGTATAAAAATAAAGGACTTCAGGACATACATTGACCCTCCTTAGACTTTGCCGTGGTGGGAGCGTTGTGCATTAGGCTGCAACTTTTTTTATATAAAAATGAAAAAAGATATTCAAAGTTTGCACAAACTATTGAGGTGTTAAACCTAAGAGTCCAATACTGAAATTTTGGGACAGGGAGATCAAGTAACAATTACGATTTGAAAAAGCAGTAGTTGTGCATCAGTTTGTATTTATGCTTCGAGATCAATTGTGAGAGCTGTATACCTATTTAGAATGGAGAGTTATAGAGTGAAAAAAGACCTTGATAGTGAATTTTCCATCAATGTAGGATGGCATCAAGGTTCTGTTTTAGGTCCATATCTGTTTTCATTGATTACGTATGAATTACCTAGGTATACGACCCAGGATGAAGTTTCATGATATATGTTATTTATTGATGATATAGTATTGATAGATGAAACTAAAATAGGAGTTAACCATATAGTAGAAATTTAGAAAGAAGCTTTAGAGTTGAAAGACTTAAGATAAATGAAACAAAACTGAAATAAGAAATGCCAAGTTATTAGGAGTAGAATTTCAAATAGTGAGGTGATAAAGATCGAACACGAAGAGGTATCAAAGAGCAAACACTTTTGATATTTGAGATCAATATTAACAAGGAAGGGGAGATTTTAAACAATTGTACTAATAGAATTAAAGCAGGACGGATTAAGTAGATGAATGCATATAGTGTATTGTGTGAACCTTAATCTTAAAGAGAAGTTCCACAAGGCAATCAGTGGACCAACAATGCTTTATGGTACACAATGTTGGGCAGTTAAATAAAACCATATTCAGAAACTAAGGGTGATTGACATGCATTTCTTACTATAGATATGTGAGCAGATGAGAAATGAATATATTTGTGAAGCTGTACAAGTAGTACCAGTAAGAATAAATTAAGGGAGTATTGACTTAGATGTTTTGGATATGCCTATAGAATAGCTAGTACTACACTAGTGAGGAAGAGTGATTTAATACATATTGATTGTAATGCGAGAGTTAGAGGTAGTTTGAAGTTAAATTTGAATGAGATAGGAAAAGAGTTTTTTTTTGGATAGAAAATATAGCCCTTGATAGAGCATAACGGAGAAACATGATGCTTGTAGCCGACTCCCAATAGTTGGGTAAAAGCTTTAGCTGAACTGGACTAACCCAACTCTTATTCATATCTGTACTAACCTTGGTAATCTGCCATTGGTTAGTTGCCTTTGAATGAGAAAATTTTTCTTTGCACTATTTCGAGTTTCCCATGGTTTATAAAAGGTGGTCTTCTCCTGGCTTTATGGCAAATGATATATGCTTAAAAGTGGACCCTATGATGAGAAAACAATTAATGTTTATATAGATGTACTATGTTGGAATCATTTATCCATTTATTTTCTAATATCAAGGTGGCAACAGATCCTTGGAAATTTGAATGTTTTGTCGCCCTGGAATTTTTAATCCATGCCATAATGTGCTTTTTCTTTGCTCTTGGAGTGGGGGAAAGGGTATAAGGGGGTTTGGAATGGAGTGTCTCATCCTATGGTTTTGTGTGGAGTAACTTCTCAAAGTAGAGTCCATTTCAGGGATGTGATTTACAGAATGAATTTTCAAAAAACACTAATTGTTTGTTGAACATGTGTTTTGATGGTGTTCCTGAACAGAAAGTGCATCTATATATGAAAATATAATTGGAGACAATGTCTTATGTTCAAAATTATATAGAAAGAACGATATCACCCTTAGCTTTTGAAACTAAATTCATCCAACATACCTTAGGAATAGCTCAATATTTCCCTCCATTCTATTCCTTGCTTGCTGCTCCACCTCCAAAGGCAAGCAAAATTTCTCATATGTGAACAGAATAGCAAATCCAAGAAGGGAAGAGATTCAACAAAAATGGGAAACAAGTAAAGATGGAATAAAGGAGTAGGGATGACTGGTCNAAAGGCAAGCAAAATTTCTCATATGTGAACAGAATAGCAAATCCAAGAAGGGAAGAGGTTCAACAAAAATGGGAAACAAGTAAAGATGGAATAAAGGAGTAGGGATGACTGGTTTGATTCTGGCTTCCTGATTCATGTGGGAGCTGACAGCAAACAGGTTTAAGAAAAGCTTGTTGAACAGGCTGTCAAAGTTTTGAATCGCAGGGAACCAATGAGTATCGCCGACCACTCATCTTTTTCTTTTTGGAAAATTTATCTGTGGATTAATTATTTCCATTTGAGGTAAGTTTACTATAGGATGCTATTTATAAATATGTCTAATTCTTGATGGACCAACGCAGGTGGTTGTATCTTTTTTGGCTGGTGGATTGTAGATAGGTGAACATACAAATGGCCGAAAATCAAACGTGTAAACAGAGATTGTTGGGGAAACGGAGTGGTTGTTGAAATGCTGAAAGTGTAAAAGATGAGTGTTTTTTTGAAGAAAATTCTTGTACCATTTCTCTTTGATGTAGATAAAGGGCCAAAAAAGTATCGTCGTAAGACTTATTGAGGACAATAGTGGAGTTTGCTTTTACCATTATAAACAGAGCAGCTTGCTTCATGAGAAGTCTAAAAGGATGGTTTTGAGAAGCTAGGTTTCCTGGCTTATCTAGATGTGCATTTACAAGATGCACTTCTGACTCAGAAGCTAAAATTGCAGACTCCCCAAACAACATGCAATTATCTAATGGATTTTTGTGGCTGAAAAAGTCCACCAGTCAGCACAAAATGCACCCTGTGTTTTGATGTATGTCAAAGAGACTAATAATTGAAGAATTTGAGATTCTAGTTTTCATGCTGGCTCCTTCTTCTGCAAGAATATTTTAAGTAAAATCTCCTGGGGGTCAAAGTTTGGGCTCTTTTTTTGTCCTTTTTTTTTTAGCGGATCCTTCAAAAAGAGCATTTGTATTGTAATGTTCTAGGGATCCCCATGTTTTCAACGTCCTTTTTTCTGTATGGGTACCATTTTTTTCTTCTTTTTGAGCTTTACTCTTGCTATATGAAATTATTTTCTTCAGCAATAGATGGCCTGCTTTGCTACAAACTGAGTAGAGATGGTCTTGGGTTGGCCTGAGGACATTAGTTTCTGCCAGGACATTTTGGCCTTTCCTGATAGTCCACTGATTTTAAGTTTAATGTGTATAGTTAATACAATCCTGGGATGTGAAAAGGATGAAAGGCTAACTTATCCTCTGTTAGATATTGTCAGCTGCTGCATTACAGGACAAGCATGAAATTCTTTTGCTTAATTTTGTTTGGAAACTAACATAGTCAATGCCATGTTCAGTGGAGCATGAGGTATTGGAGAAAGAGATTGGGAGGCTACGAGCTGTGTATCAACAGCAACATCAACCATCTTCTGGCCATCGACGCAGCAAAAGTAGAGACCTTGACTCGCAATTTTCAAACCTTTCTCTGAAACACAAAGGGGCCAGCTCTGGTCGTGATAATGTCTCTGGCCAACTCCACATTTGACCGTATGAATAGCTAGATAGCTGTGTTGTGCTCTAACTTCCTTGTCTGACGCTGCCTTGCCAGTGACAAATGATGTCATTCTCTTTGTGTGGCATCAAGCTGAGCTCTTTGCTCTTGGTGTGGTATCAACCCACTTTGCTTGTTTTGCTTTTTGCCTTGGGCCTTTGGCCTTTTGCATTTTGCCTTTTGTTTTGGTGTTTATGCAATTTTATCTGTATTTGCTCATTCTCCTTGTTAATTTAACATTTACATGTGCACCTGGTAGTCATTTCCAGGAAATTGTATTTCTGGCATGTGACCTACCGGAGGTGGTACCTTTGAACATGAACGATTTTTATCTCTCTGTATGTTCAAGTCATTATAATTTGGAAACTTCCCATCATTTTTGCCTCTTGCAACTTTCTGTCATTTGGAATGCAGTGTGGTGCATATATTTTTGGTCTTTTAGTTGTGCATTTCTTTTCGATGGACTTTGATAATGTTCTCTCTTGTAAAATGCATGCAATCTTCTTCGACTGGTTATGGAAAACCCAATATTCTTTGCCTGGGAAAAACCAGGTCTTACAAGCTTTAAACTATCATCGGAGACTAGGATTTGGTCGCCCACATTGTCGTGGGAGGAAAAAGAATGGAGTGTGTGTGTTCCAAGTTATGTTACATTGGAAGGGAGCTTGTAGTTTAAATTTTATGAAAAAAGACGGGATTAAGTAGGGTTGCCAAGGCTTTGAGCTCTTTGGTATGAAATTTTGCATTCGACTCTCTCTCTCTCTCTCTCTCTCTCTCTCTCTCTCTCATGTATGGCTGTGAGCTTTTGAAATTTCAAATTGCAGTTGAAGCTCAATTAAGGTAATAACTATTTTGCAGGTGATGGTTGTTTTGGATGAAGAGAGATTTGCTGGGAGGGGTAGGGTTTGAACCTGGTTTGTTTATGTCATCAGATGGTGACACTTTGTCACGAGGACAGAACAATGGTTCCAAGTGATGGAGATTTGGTATTAAGATTTTTTTTTTTTTGGGTGTTGAATATCTGGAATTTGGGACTAGTTAAAAAAAAACTGGGAGGTCATTGGTTGGTCTTGTTGTTGGACTTTAAGGTCACGAGTTCAAATCTCATTGTCCTCCTCTTTATAATAGTGCTTGATCCCCCAAAAAATAAAAAGGAACGGGTCAAACAGCTAAATGATTGGGAATGGTACGGCTATCATGTTCATTCTAATTTTTTTCCTCATAAATTTCCACTTTGAATTGGTCATCCCATCCACAGAAATTATACTCATAGGCGTAAATAACACCAAATTCCTTTTATCATGTAGATCTTCTAATCTTGTTCATGTAATGGATTCATGGGGGTTCAAACCTGGTGTCCTTTCTCATAGTCATTGCACCAAATTAGAGACAAAAAGGTTTTGGTGAAATTCTCCAAGCTAGAATATGTTAGCATTGCTAAGTATGGTGTCTCTTTACTTTTATAAACAGATTTTTCGGTATCATATATTTTTTTAAATATATTTTTTCTCTTTAATTCTCTTTTTGATAAATCATTTACCATTAACGAGTGAGGTACCTATTTATATATAATGAGTTTTACTTGAATACATGATAAATGACATATTCAATGCATGAGATTCCCGTTATTGCGAGGCCTAGATAGGGTTGAATGCACGGAGTCTTACCCATGTAAGCAGAGAAACTGTTTTCACGACTCAAACTTATAACCTTTAGGTGACAATAGAATAAACTTACTGTTGCACTAAGGCTAACAAAAGTAAATTTAGAAACTTGTGACCGCACTTGAATGTGTGATAAATGATCCACCAAAAAGAGAATTGAAGAAAAAATATATTGGAAAGGATTTCACCCAATCTATTATCGGTTTTGATTCATNATTTGGTATTAAGATTTTTTTTTTTTTGGGTGTTGAATATCTGGAATTTGGGACTGGTTAAAAAAAAACTGGGAGGTCATTGGTTGGTCTTGTTGTTGGACTTTAAGGTCATGAGTTCAAATCTCATTGTCCTCCTCCTTATAATAGTGCTTGATCCCCCAAAAAATAAAAAGGAACGGTTCAAACAGCTAAATGATTGGGAATGGTACGGCTCATCATGTTCATTCTAATTTTTTTCCTCATAAATTTCCACTTTGAATTGGTCATCCCATCCACAGAAATTATACTCATAGGCGTAAATAACACCAAATTCCTTTTATCATGTAGATCTTCTAATCTTGTTCATGTAATGGATTCATGGGGGTTCAAACCTGGTGTCCTTTCTCATAGTCATTGCACCAAATTAGAGACAAAAAGGTTTTGGTGAAATTCTCCAAGCTAGAATATGTTAGCATTGCTAAGTATGGTGTCTCTTTACTTTTATAAACAGATTTTTCGGTATCATATATTTTTTTAAATATATTTTTTCTCTTTAATTCTCTTTTCGATAAATTATTTACCATTAACGAGTGAGGTACCTATTTATATATAATGAGTTTTACTTGAATGCATGATAAATGACATATTCAATGCATGAGATTCCCACTATTGCGAGGCTTAGATAGGGTTAGGTGCACGGAGTCTTACCCATGTAAACAGAGAAACTGTTTTCACGATTCAAACTTATAACCTTTAGGTGACAATAGAATAAATTTACCGTTGCACTAAGGCTAACAAAAGTAAATTTAGAAACTTGTGATCGTACTTGAATGTGTGATAAATGATCCACCAAAAAGAGAATTGAAGAAAAAATATATTGGAAAGGATTTCACCCAATCTATTATCGATTTTGATTCATATTCAAATGCTAGATTTCCTAAATTTCTTTAGTTTATTTAGATTACTTAACTCTATTTGCAATCTATCAAATATAACAAGTCTCAATTAGATTCATGATAGGTACCACTGACCTAAATCATCTACCAATAAAATAGATTCCACTTATATTCACAATAAGTGATTTAGCATTGCGGAAATTAGTTCTAGAATGAAGTATATTATGAATATAATCTAGAGCATCTCCAGAAACATTGTTGGGTATTGACAACACTGAGAAGAAACTGTACACTTGTGATTGAGAAATCAAAACCAAACAGAAACTTTTTAAAACATTACTGCAAGTAAAAGCAATGATAAAATAAGTACACAAGGGTTCAGAGGCACAAAAAACTGGGCACTGTTTGGGAGTCTTGGGTATTCATCTGGAGGGGGCATGACACATTCTTCACCATTGAAGGAAATTTTTCTGGGAAAGGCCCATCCTCCCTTGAAAGTGAAAAACCCTGGGTCTTTGTGTAATAACATCTCAGTTTGTACATTTCCACTCTGTCCTGACTGGAGCAACATGTCATTGTAGTACTGAATTCCATAGAACATCCCAGTGTCATCTGAACATAGCAGATTAGGAAGTTATGAAGTATGAATGACTAATATGTAACATTCAATAGAACTCAAACTCAGATAAAAGCTGAAAACATGCCATTGGAAATCATTCTTTGTGTTGTGTCATGTTGAGGTCATTTTATATTCGGTTGCATACTGTTTAGATCATGTTGGAGTTTTTTTTTTCCCTCAAAAAGAAAGGGTGGGGGCAAAAGAGAGCGCCCAGAGACCACTCCGATAAGCCCTCACTGATAGGATCATACGGCCTCTGGCCGCGCCCGTTACTCTTATCGGGAACGAACCTAGTTAAGTTAACATAGTGGTCAACCACCGAGTCCCAACGTAAACTCAAAGACTCAAACCTCCAACCTGAGAAGTTTAGCCGATATCCCACTTACTCCACCCCACTCCAAGACCATGTTCTATAACTTGTGAACCTAAAACCCCAAGATTAGGATCCTCTCATTTCTCAACCAAATCTACTCCACATAGGCACCCAATAAATTAAAAAGAGCAATGCTATGTACACCAAAATTTTCACCAAATCACTTGTAGCCGTTGGATCAGTGCACCTGCAAGTGATTTAATACAAGTTTTGGTGCATATAGAATTATCCAATTAAAAATCTACTAGTTCCATATTGCAGTAAAACCAAACCAAACTAAAAGTCATTTGACTCTATAACAATTCATCCACTATTAGGTCAGGTAATGGGAAAAAAAAATACAGATATTTTCTTCGTAGAATACCATTTGAACGAGTTTGCTATGCTGAAGTCAAGTTATTCCGACAGGTTTTTTCTCATCCTTTCTAGGAGTTTCAAAGTATCCCGACCCATTTCCTATTCATGTTATCAAGCAATGTCATTTTTAGGCTTGTGTCATGGTGAGTTTTAGTCGTGTGACAGTTGCCTGTCATGCTAGGATTAGGATCTACTCTAATATTAGGTACCTTCAATGCTAGATTAGTCATTAAATTGTTGGGGGACCCGTTTGGATATAATGGGTCGCTCTTGGATTTATGATTGGTGATCGAGCACCGAGAGATTTGGAAAAATTTGATCCAGAAAGTGGATTTGAATCCATCATGCAAGACATTTCAAGAACACAATAACCTTTAAGTAATTTATCTTTGTTGCAAATATGTAGTNGGGACCCGTTTGGATATAATGGGTCGCTCTTGGATTTATGATTGGTGATCGAGCACCAAGAGATTTGGAAAAATTTGATCCAGAAAGTAGATTTGAATCCATCATGCAAGACATTTCAAGAACACAATAACCTTTAAGTAATTTATCTTTGTTGCAAATATGTAGATTAGCAGCCTAAAGAGGGTAGGAACTTGAATAAATTCAATGCATCCATAGACATCCATATATCTGGACAAGCTGAGAAGTGATCATATAGATTGAATACTAGAAATAGCAGCAACAGAAGAGTATGGATGAACTTACTGATATGACCATACTGATTGAGAGGCTTATAGTTGAAGCTGAAAACCTGTGTCACATTTCTCAGATTGGGGTGTTGTACCACCAAATTCCATCCACTATAATTCTTGACAAAATTCAGATTTGTCACAGTTATCTTGACCCTCCAGTACTGTGTATAGCTTAATTTTACATGCCAATGCACCTTTACAGGGCACATGTGCTGTGAACACTGAACTACTGGCTGCGGTGCTTCGTTATGCAGTAGTTGCAACACTGGTGCTAGTTCACCAGGCCTGAAGTTTTCAAGAAAAAGAACAACAATGAAAGAGCTGAATGTGAAGATATTCAATACTTTAAAATATGAAATTGGAACACAAGAGAAGTGATTTAGAATATTTACTTTACACATTTTGCTCCTGGTTGTTGGCAGCCACAACTGCATTTGGGGCATGGAACAATGGTGTCATTGTAAAATGCAGACAAGGAAACACAACATGTTGGGGCGGGTGATGCTCGAAACTGAGAGTAAGAACAAGTCACGTTCCATGTTACTGAAATGATCCACACAGAAAATATTTTAGAGAAAAGGGATGAATTTTAAGTCTTTTATGACTTCCAATTTGATATATAGACTATCTGGTTCAACAACAAAAAATTAGTGGCAGACAAAGAGATGTATCAATGCTGCTAGAAGACATAAGCCATTCACTGTTTCAGAGTATCATAGTCATCTTTTCAACTTCTGCAATTCAAACAGAACAAAAGTCTCAAAAGGCCAACATTTTAATATCAAAAGACTTACCAAGAGCTTGTGTGCGTCGACGGCCATTATCCTCAATAAACTTACTTGGTGGGACGTCCATAGGATTCCCACAGGTATAACCTGGAAGACCAAGGGTGAAGTTTCCGGGCATTCCCGTCTCTGAACCGTCTGTAGAAGAAACTCCAATATTCATCTGAAAAGCAGCCCCATATTTATCAGGATCTTGTACCATGGATGATAGGACACCGCCCTTGCAGCAATTTGCAACCTGCTTGTTATAAGGGGCACCAGGCAAAAGGTCAATAATCACTGGTTCCTTTTCACAACAATGAGGAAGTTGTCTTCCTATGAATGCAGAACAATTCCCCTGCTCTGTGGCCTCAGCTCCCACCATGTTCCATATCACTTGGTCACCTGGCCATGTCCAGCTTAGCTTCCAACCGGGCTGATCAATATGTCGGAAGAGCTGGTAATTAAAAATTGACACCCTCACCTGCAAATGTGGAAGGAATTGAAGAGTTTTGACAGTTCAATCAAACTGGAAGATTCTATCAGCATTCTAAATCCGGTGAGCCGAAATTTGGAACCAACTATGTCACCTGTCTTACATTGTCCCATCCACTATCATGTTTCTCCCATTGCACCCCTAACTATGGTTATTGGTTTCACATTACTGCATAATCTATCAAGCGTTCATGTTGCCCCATCAACAATGGTTACTAGCTTGACATTGCCCCATTTGCAGACAGTGAAAGCAAGTATTTTAATATACACATGGACATTTTACATTATATACCTAAGAGATAAAGTGAAACCAGTCCAAGTGGGTTAATGGTAATGTGCAAAACTCAATGGTTGAGGGGCTAATGTGAGATCAGGAACATGTTTGAGGAGGTCAATGTATAATTTTCCCAACAAGTTCCAACATGCAACTCCAATAGTTCTGTAACAAGCACTAGNCAAAACTCAATGGTTGAGGGGCTAATGTGAGATCAGGAACATGTTTGAGGAGGTCAAAGTATAATTTTCCCAACAAGTTCCAACATGCAACTCCAATAGTTCTGTAACAAGCACTAATCCTTGATATTCACATGGCCCTTTAAAGATTTATTATCAATGGCTGCTTCAGACAAGATAGACAACCAAAAATACACATTCCCATATAGGCAAAGACCATTTAAATGGCCCTTTCCAAATTCATAAACACGAAATTCGATGCACTTTGCACACTGCGGGTTCTAAGAAGAGTCAGATATAATTTCCCTTTGCATTGCACCGTTATAAATGCACAACAACATGGAAACCAGCACAACAATGTGGCAAACAAGGGATTTGAGCAGAGAGTAGTAGCCATTGCAAGAACAGCTCTTACAGTGAAAAATAAGTAGCATTAAGGAAGCAAGAAAGCCTGTCTCCGTAGCCTATGCTGTTTAACATGCAATATCACATGGGGGGCACATGAATGACAAAATTCTTCTCGTTGAAACAAGAAGAGCATTGGAATTTGCTAGAGGTAAATAAACCAAGTTTCTCGGGGGCAAATTGTCGAACACTTGGCGGTATTGTATCGAAAAATATTACTGTCTTAAATAAATTTTACAAATGATAAGTTACAACTATTCATAATTGATCAGTTANAACACTTGGCGGTATTGTATCGAAAAATATTACTGTCTTAAATAAATTTTACAAATGATAAGTTACAACTATTCATAATTGATCAGTTAGCTGTTAAAAATTGTATCTTTTGTGATTGATAATATATTTTTTATTTGTAACTTAAACCCTTTTGAGCTATAACCTATACCCATAAAAGATTATAATTTGACATTTAAATGCGGTAACTGTCAATATAATATCGAATGCGGTCCTATAATTGTTCTTCCCCTATGGCTTTTTCTCTAATAATTTATATTAAAAGTTGTGCACACATGGTTTCGATATATATATATATNAAAAGTTGTGCACACATGGTTTCGATATATATATATATATTATTGCGCTCACCTTATTACTTTTCCAATTGACATTGATTTTCATATTTATGCATATTAAGGTTCCATATTTTTTATTTGACTTGTGATTGACCCTTATTTTTTTGCGACAAACCACCTCTAATTTTTTTTATTGCCGTTGATTATTGTGTTTCAACTGGATTTCAATAGTATTATCATACCTGTCGAATTTTTTTAGGTAAATTTGCTATTTTGATACCTTATGAAGGTAATTTGACAAACAAATTAGAAATTGAAGGTTGTGAAAAATCAATTGCGTAATCAAACGAAGGAAAGATATTTATGAGAACATTGACAATGAAGTATCCTTTAATTCTTTCAAATATCAAGGTCATTTAGGTCAATTAAAAGTTTTAATTAGACTCATAGTTTTGTAAAATGTTATAATTAGTCTATTTTTTTTTGTTTTTTTTTTAAGTTATTCATTCTATAATATAAAATAAGATAAATTTCAAATAAGTCTATTGGACGGTCTCAAATAGATTCTTTTAACGGTTACCACCATTCTTCTCAAAATTATTTACATTAAATTTTATCTTATTTTTTTTACTCTTCACTCACTTTTAATGATAAGAACAAAAACTTTAAACTTTATAGTTAAAGTGTCCACCTAGAAGTAAATTTTTGGGTCCGTCCCTAGGTCACGAACTACTATTGCATCGCGGANTGTCTTAAATAAATTTTACAAATGATAAGTTACAACTATTCATAATTGATCAGTTAACTGTTAAAAATTGTATCTTTTGTGATTGATAATATATTTTTTATTTGTAACTTAAACCCTTTTGAGCAATAACCTATACCCATAAAAGATTATAATTTGACATTTAAATGCGGTAACTGTCAATATAATATCGAATGCGGTCCTATAATCGTTCTTCCCCTGTGGCTTTTTCTCTAATAATTTATATTAAAAGTTGTGCACACATGGTTTCGATATATATATATATATATATTTTATTGCGCTCACCTTATTACTTTTCCAATTGACATTGATTTTCATATTTATGCATATTAAGGTTCCATATTTTTTATTTGACTTGTGATTGACCCTTATTTTTTTGCGACAAACCACCTCTAATTTTTTTNTTGATTTTCATATTTATGCATATTAAGGTTCCATATTTTTTATTTGACCTGTGATTGACCCTTATTTTTTTGCGACGAACCACCTCTAATTTTTTTATTGTCGTTGATTATTGTGTTTCAACTGGATTTCAATAGTATTATCATACTTGTCGAATTTTTTAAGGTAAATTTGCTATTTTGATGCCTTATAAAGGTAATTTGACAAACAAATTAGAAATTGAAGGTCGTGAAAAATCAGTTACGTAATCGAATGAAGGAAAGATATTTAATTAGACTCACAATTTTGTAAAATGTTATAATTAGTCTATTTTTTTTTGTGTTTTTTTTAAGTTATTCATTCTATAATATAAAATAAGATAAATTTCAAATAAGTCTATTGGACGGTCTAAAATAGATTTTTTTAACGGTTACCACCATTCTTCTCAAAATTATTTACATTAAATTTTATCTTATTTTTTTCACTCTTCGCTCACTTTTAATGATAGGAACAAAAACCTTAAACTTTATAGTTAAAGTGTCCACGTAGAAGTAAATTTTTGGGTCCGTCCCTAGGTCACGAACTACTATTGCATCGCGGAAATGTGGGCCCTGTCAACTTTAATTTTTCCAAAATACCCTTCCTACATGAAAGTAAATAAAAGCCCTAGCCTGTATGTGAACTGGATGAGGTCTTTGGCAAGTAGTTACAGAACGAACCCATGAGCTGTTAACTCCAGCAGTCAACCCCATACGTAAATAGTCATAAATGCATGGTAGCATGGGGGCTACTTCGCCTTAGCATTAAAGACAAGGGAAAAATACTTTGCATTCTAAATAAATAGAAAATTTTGGATGAATGGACCTATCAACTTTTTTTTTAAACAGGATCTACTGATTCAATAAGAAATGTCATTTGAGATCTTTATTACTGGTTAACAAGAGAAATATTCTTGATGTCATAAAGCTAACGTGGATGTTGTTGATGCATGATAAATATACGTGTATGTTGCATATATTCTTGTATGTGTATCAGCGTATGTGTGTGTGTGTATGTTGCATGATACATATATGTATGTTTGTATAAAAAACAATAATTACGTGCGTNATGTGTATCAGCGTATGTGTGTGTGTGTATGTTGCATGATACATATATGTATGTTTGTATAAAAAACAATAATTACGTGCGTACACGAATTAGTGTATAAAATAAAGTCTTGAAATGTTTGAAAAATAATGACAAAAAAAAAAAATGTGTTCAAAAAACATAAAAAGAGACTTACATCTTGTGTACCATCGTTCTCTTGCATAATGTCCCACTTGATGGTGATGTTCCCATTAGGATCCAACACATCAAACCCACCTGCACTACCATCAAAAGTCACCATTAACTAAAGGAATTTTTTGAGACTAATGTGGTTACAATGCAAACTCTCAATGCACAAAGTTATATACGGACCATCTCCCTCCATCAGGTGAGTTTGGACTTTTGTCTTTACACCCAAACTATCCTCGTGGGATCGGACTAACAAATACTTAAAGCATATCTGGATAAAATATGATACTTACGGGTTGATGAGAGAAAACTGCTAAGAGAGAGGAAAAGCAAAATTGAGACAACACCCATTAACCTATGGGAAATATAGAAAAATGGGTTCCAACCCATTTTTTGGATGAATGATTAAGTCTCTCTCTCTCTCTCTCTCTCTCTCTCTCTCCCCTGAATCTCTGGCTAACAGAATGCAATGCCTCCTTCTAATAGCGGTTGGTCGAGCTGGAACTAACTTCAAATGATGCTCAGGTTGAGCCTTATGTGTGTATATATATATACGCAGGAGAGAGAGAGAGAAAGAGAGAGAGAGAGAGAGAGAGGAGGGGGGGGGGGATTACATGCATGGTTGCTTGTATATATGTATATATGGTGGGGGTGGTGAAGAAGGTGTAATAAAGAAGGGGTTTGCTGCCACATTTAGGTGCTAAGAATGCGTGTGTGGGAGGAGTTTTGTTTTCTTCAGTGTAACGATTCAAAACTCACGCTTTTGGCTCCGTACCCAATGGGTGCCGTTTTGAGTCATTCAATTCAATTTGACCTTTGCGTCTTGCCTTTAACTTTGCTTTCATTTTTCAGGCTTAAATTCACTTTCCCCAATGACCTATCTATCCCACGTTTAAATATTTATAACTTCCCTTCTTACAAGATTTAAAAAAAGTAATATTACATGACTTACGTAAAATTTTAAAAATTATAATTAAAATGCATCATTTTTTGAATAAGTGGGTTCATTTAATTTTTTTTACCGAGTCCTAGACACTTATCTAAAAAATGATATATATTTGAGTTGTATAGCATTTTTTAATAGTCAGATGACATGTCACACGCCACACACCTGATGTGAGGAAAAGGGACAATATTGTCAAAATATATTTTAGACGTTTAATTATTTTTGGAAGTGAAACTCATTCAGAGCAATAGAAAATATTTAATGTCACGGTGATATCACATTATTATTAATNCACTTTCCCCAATGACCTATCTATCCCACGTTTAAATATTTATAACTTCCCTTCTTAAAAGATTTAAAAAAAGTAATATTACATGACTCACGTAAAATTTTAAAAATTATAATTAAAATGCATCATTTTTTGAATAAGTGGGTTCATTTAATTTTTTTTACCGAATCCTAGACACTTATCTAAAAAATGATATATATTTGAGTTGTATAGCATTTTTTAATAGTCAGATGACATGTCACATGCCACACACCTGATGTGAGGAAAAGGGACAATATTGTCAAAATATATTTTAGACGTTTAATTATTTTTGGAAGTGAAACTAATTCAGAGCAATAAAAAATATTTAATGTCACGGTGATATCACATTATTATTAATAAATATGATCACCACACTAAAAAGCAACAAATATCACTAATACTCCATGTCCACACCCTGAACTCCCCTCAAACGAGAGTTAACGATGGTAGCTCCTTCAAGCCCACCCCTGAACCACCAATCTCTTTTCCTCTCTCACAAACTAACTCCCTTTTTAAATATATCACTAAAAATTAGGCCAGTCAATCGAGAAACANACCACACTAAAAAGCAACAAATATCACTAATACTCCATGTCCACACCCTGAACTCCCCTCAAACGAGAGTTAACGATGGTAGCTCCTTCAAGCCCACCCCTGAACCACCAATCTCTTTTCCTCTCTCACAAACAACTCCCTTTTTAAATATATCACTAAAAATTAGGCCAGTCAATCGAGAAACAAATTTGTGTAAAAAACACTACTTAAACCCGATTCATTTATTAATTTGTGTTTAATAAATCATATTATTTCAAGTTCATGTCGTGTATGAATCATATATAACCAATATATACATGAATTGTAACGTGTATTTCTTTTGATTAGCTTTACTCATACCTGATTTATTTATTAATCATTTTGTGTCGAACCTACTCATTTACAAAATGGATGACTTAAGAAAAATCCAAACTCTCTAATTTTGTATTGTGTCATATTTTGACACNTTCTTTTGATTAGCTTTACTCATACCTGATTTATTTATTAATCATTTTGTGTCGAACCTACTCATTTACAAAATGGATGACTAAAGAAAAATTCAAACTCTCTAATTTTGTATTGTGTCATATTTTGACATTTCTACTAGAATCCCCCTCCACCTCCCCTTAACCAAAACCTTCATGGAAAAAATTACAGCAACAACCACAGCTTCCTAAGAGCTCATACACATGCTCCACTCTACCGTCCAAGCCACTGGCAAATTCGAGTCAGAAAACCCATGTCAATATTGGCACCATCGGCCATGTTGACAACAAGATGACCACTCCCACTGCAGCCCTCCCCTGTCACTAGTGCGGCAGAGTAGCAGAACAACGAAATTAATCCTTTGAAGGCCAAACTTTAATCAAACGACCACGCCTAACATGAAGGATTAACAAGCTCTGCATAGAAAATGTGCTCATCTGAAGTGCAACCAGACACCCAAATCAACATGAACCACTCCATTTATCAGATCGAAAGCTATGAACTATGAACAAGAAACTTCAATTTCTGCTGCATAATTGCAATATCATGTCACAAAATTTTTAAGGATTTCGTCAATATTACATACACAATTTGTTGATCATCGCCCCATAACTGGAGGCGAAAAAAGCAGTCATCCAAATCCAGCCTTTAGTTACACGAATAAGAACAAACGTATCATAGAGAAAGGGAGGTCAGTGACACCTTCATAATTTTGGCAGTCATGTCCCTCATGCATGCCTGCGTCTCTTGGGATGCTCCTCATCGTATGACTGCCAGTTCTTATGATCAAGGATGCTGAGGTCATCAAGATCCGATATGGCAAGCAAGTATTGTGTGAGCTTCACAAGCTCCTGGTCAGTTCCTCGATTTGAGTGTGCATTTCTGAATGGCTTAATCGTCAAACCATTCTGTGGGTTCATTACGAAATTTCTCCGTAGATCATCAAACATAATAGTGTTCTTTGAATTGTAAAACTGCAGATAAATCAAGAGACGGCACTGTGAATAAATCAGCTAGCAAGGCACATTGCATAACATGAAAAAGGAAACCTATTTTTAGCATGCATTGAGACAAATTTATTTTATAATTCATAGCACTTCATCCAGGATATCCCACATTTATTGCAAGATCATAAGTGTATCAAAACATGAAGTTGCTACTTCTTCGCATTTCATGAGGAGATGAGATAATCAACTCTTCCATCTGAAAAAAACATACTTTGCTGGCTACATTGGGAAAAAAATTTGAGCCTTCAAGTGCTAAGCAGATACTACCTATTTGCATACATAAGTCTACCAAACAGCCAATCAATGGATTGAACAACAAACAAAACAAGAAATTATAATTAAACCTCCGGAAAATGAGCCCAAATTAAGCCGAGTGGCTTGCAATCGAAGATCCCACGAGAATCTGATTGTACTGTGATCATTGCTAAATGGTCCAGGAGAGCTGTAATTTTGTAGTTAGGATTGTCAAGTACACCAAGCTGTCCCATCTTCAATTCAACCCACTTCATGCTGCAGAAAGGAAAATGGAGAAATTGTAGCCATTGGGTTTCGTACATTGAGAACTAGATGTCACGAGTTACAAAGTTTGATCTATAAGAACTGCAGCCACATGTTTTACAAAGGAATAATAATGGTTAGCTATGAAAGACCTATTGCAAAGTTCTGAGTAAAAATTCCATTATTATAAGAAGCCCTGAAAAATTGTGGAAAATAAGTCCTTTTNCACATGTTTTACAAAGGAATAATAATGGTTAGCTATGAAAGACCTATTGCAAAGTTCCAAGTAAAAATTCCATTATTATAAGAAGCCCTGAAAAATTGTGGAAAATAAGTCCTTTTACAAAGTGAAACATAATGACGCTTTTTCCAGAACGCTATTCAAAGAAAAAAGGTTTCTGAGTAAAAGAAAATATGACCTGGTTGCAGACCATATAATGATATCATACTCAGCATAGACAGCCGAGAGAAACTCATGAAGATCTGCACAAGAAAATGTCAGAATTATGTGTAGATCAGCAAGAAAAGAAAAGGACCAAATTGTCAAAGCATTGAAGTATTTTACACAAGTGCTACGTACAAGGCCTCATGAGTTCAAGTGGATTTTCAGCTTTTGACCGGTGATCAAACAGGGTATAATCAATATCCAAAACAAGCAGCTTCTTCCCCTCACGGCAAGGATTCCGGAGTTCAATCTACAAGTCAGCATCCATCATCATGACCAAGTAATAGGGACAGTCTATACTATAGGCAACCCACAGATGTGAAAAGACTAACTACATAAATGAAGGCAATGAAGATGCAAACATACACAAAGCAACCAAAATAAGAAATAATAATTTATGTGGTGCGGCCTGCAAAAGACCTACATCCATAGGCTAAAAGAGGATCAATACTTAATGAGAAGAATAGCCAATGCCACTGCCACTCACCCAGTTGTGAGTTCTCTCTTTTTTGCAATCTCTATTTTAGAAACCTAGCAAGAATGATCCCTGTCATATTTTGAAACTTTTCATTTTTTTGGATAAAAAAACTTTCATCAAGTAAAGAAAAAAGGACAATAAATCCACCATATGAGGAAAATAAAAGAAGATAATACGTTGGAAATCGTTATGTCCCCATAGAACAATATGGAATGTTCCTCTAGTTACATGCTGCAATCCAATCAAGACCAAAGAGAATAATGTGTTATCCCTGGGTGGCGTCACAACTCATCACACTAGGAAAATAGGCCCCCAGGTGGCCTTACCGCACAAAATCACTTGAGTGCTGTTTGGGCCTCCAGGGAGCAAGATAGCTCGCTCATTCAAGGGAAAAAATAATCCCTGTGTGGCCTCACTGTTACTGTAGGGGCTTCAAGGCACCATTTTAATGTATCTCCACCTTGATTTGAAACCCACCAAGCCACTCAACTAGAACTTTCCAATCTTCTCTGAAAAGCCACGAAGGGCAAACACCTAAGCACACTGCGAATGTCAGCCAAGCCCAAGCAACACTTGATCTTCAATACAGGTTTTAGTCTTTGGCTATCATACATGTAAAGTCCTTTCATGATACATCTGGGAGCTAGATAGCTCATTCAAGGGGAAAAATAATCCCTGTGTGACCTCACTGCTACTGTAGGGGTTCAAGGCACCTTCTTAATGTATCTCGACCTTGACTTGAAACCCACCAAGCCACTCAACTAGAACTTTCCAATCTTCTCTGAAAAGCCACAAAGGGCAAACCTAAGTGCACTGTGAATGTCAGCCAAGTCCAAGCAATGCTTGATCTTCAGTACAGGTTTCAGTCTTTGGCTATTATACATGCAAAGTCCTTTCATGATACATCTGATTTTAGTTCAATTAAATTTTGCTGCAAGCAAAGATCACCTACCAAACTGCAAAAAGATTGCTTCACTACGTAAGTAACAAACCCCTACTGTGCTTTCTAGTGGACAATGCATCCAAACACTGCAAAGTGACTTTCCAAATAATAGCTCACTGAGAGGGTGAAAATATTCCCTGTCGGAGACCTCCTATCAGATCACCTGCTAGTGGGGATCTCCAGAAAGTTGGTAAAGAGTTTGCACCTATATAAGATAGGCATGCAAGATCCACTCTTAATTTTTTCCTTAAGGCAGTTACATAATTTCTTTAATGTTGGGATTGATGATTACGAGTAGAAGTATAATATTTACTTGCCTATGTGGACTTTTTGACAGAAGGTGGCAGATGAGGTTGTNCTTAAGGCAGTTACATAATTTCTTTAATGTTGGGATTGATGATTACGAGTAGAAGTACAATATTTACTTGCCTATGTGGACTTTTTGACAGAAGGTGGCAGATGAGGTTGATTGACAATTTCTCAAGTCAATTTACATTCAGGTAGCCGAGGCCCTTATATGCTCCCATGAAAAGCAATTTGTAGCCAAAAAAAAAAAAAACCAACAAACAAAGTCATTTTATTTTCTACGGAGGTAGCTTAGGTGCCATTTGACAGGCGACCATTTCGAGGTGAAGTGTGGACCCTTGCACAGTTGCATACCAGGGTTTTATGTGCAAGGAGGCAGGCAACTATGTTGGCTACCTGCTCATTCACTGCTTGCGGAGTTACAGAGAAATATAGAACTTAATTATGTCTGTTTGATGTTTCCCAGCTTATCAGTCAGTGGCACTCTTCATTGCAGGGCCTCGAGTGGCAGACCTGTTGCAGAAAGTTTTTTTCTTCCTTCNATTTGACAGGCGACCATTTCGAGGTGAAGTGTGGACCCTTGCACAGTTGCATACCAGGGTTTTATGTGCAAGGAGGCAGGCAACTATGTTGGCTACCTGCTCATTCACTGCTTGCGGAGTTACAGAGAAATATAGAACTTAATTATGTCTGTTTGATGTTTCCCAGCTTATCAGTCAATGGCACTCTTCATTGCAGGGCCTCGAGTGGCAGACCTGTTGCAGAAAGTTTTTTTCTTCCTTCTTTTTTTTTTGGGTTGGGAAATAGTTAGAGTGAAGCCATTTGTTTGGTGAGATGCATGTAGAGGGAAAGGAACATGAGATCTTTTGAGGTTGTTGACCTACCACTTTATCAGTGCAAAACAATGTTTTATATTAATTCTATTTGTATTAAAATTGGCTTTCTGTTTCTGTACCTTTTCTTTTAAATCTTTGCTGACAATTTTGAGGTTATGACTTACTAAGTTCTATTGTAGACATTTGGATAAATCCTCTGCATACTAAATGTCCACTTGGGTGATCTTTCTCCTCAACCAAGAAAAGGCCCCAACAGTGGAGTGCAGGACCATTTTAATACTTCTTACTGAACTTGACTGATCAAAAAAGAAATTTCAATTTGTACAAGTAGTAACAAGAAAACTGACCTTGTACCGATCAATACGTCTCCTCAGTTTCTCCTGATTGACCTCTTTATCCTTGATATCTACAGGTTCTTCTTGCCCAAGTTCAAAATCATCAATAATCTCCGGAGAGTCCACTTGATCCACAATTATATCATCTTCAACAGTACTGCAAATACAGTACGATCAAGATATTTACTTCAGTTCTAATAAAGGATTCTGAAAACATCAGACAAGAACGATCATGTCAAGGTTAAATTAAACTACTCACTATCAAACACTTTCCCATTATAGGAAAGGACTTTATACATGACTGATATTAGTAACAACTGATGGAGACTAAATTTACAAATGAAATAAAGTGACAGTAAAAACTTCAAAAACTAATTTTGCTTGTTTACGTTTCACAAACAAGAGGCTTCATAAAGTCATGCAAACCACTTCATAAATAGACTAGTAAACAATATATAACATGCATATAACCACCGAAGCATACCATTCTACTTTTCATATATCAAAAACATGACATTATGTCCACTTTATCAACATAGACACTCCAATCAACCTTCTACTATTTGAGTACACATTATGTATGGAAGGTTTTACTACACCTACACAAAAAAGATTTCACCTTTTCCCATTCATCAACAGAGGGAAACAATATAAACATGTTTTGCGTGGAGTGGGCAATTACAAGCCAAGGCCGAGGAAAAAATAAGTTGCTCAGATCCCTGGCAAGTGAATTCGAAAAGCCTATGCTCGGTTCCTCGCAAGTTCAAGGCAGAGCTTGAACACTCTCACCCCAGACAGAGGAAGGACGAACACATCAAAACTTGGCTTGGATTAGTTCATTTGCAACAATACATGAAAGGGGCGTTGATGTCCTTTTACGAAGAAAATATTGCATTTTTTTGGTAGCTCTTCCAGTCTTGTACCAAGGAGACTTGCAAAATAGCAAGACAATGAATTGATGTTCGAGCGAGCTCTAGCTTGAGGAGCACAAACCTTCCAATGCAGACCATTGGAACCAGGAATTGATATTTGAAAGCTATATGCAATCTCATCCCACAGCATTAATTGTTTGTCTCACCTGCCTAAAAAATTTTAGGCTCACATTCGTGGCTATATTAAGTCTTCCTTTCCGTAAGGTCAGTAAACTACAATGCATCTCTTTTCAATTAATTCTAAGGAATTAAGAGTATCTTTGGGTATGTAAAAAATTTCTAAATAAGAGTTGCAGTTAAAGTTGTGAGTCTTAATCTGGGTCAAGTAACACTAATCAAGTCGTATATGAAATCTTTGATAGCAATTGACATAATAGTATGTCTAATTCGGCAATCAAAGAGCTATATTTCCAAACTGATTTGTCCATCCGTTATGTGGATCACATTGGTGGGAATACAGGCTGATGGGTAAGGCGGTCAAGTATTTTGCCTATTTGTTACCTGCAATCAGGCGTTATAAAAAATGCCTCATTGATTAAATTCCTGGTAGCTATAAAAACAAAAATATTTATACAAAACAAACAAGAACCAAATGAAAACCGAGAGACTATAATCCACCAAATGAAACAATCAGAGCTATCAAACAACTCATTTAAACCGAAATGAAAACACATTAATCCCATTAAATTCACAAAAAAAAACCCCAAAACAATCAACGCAACAAGAAGCAATTTGAGGCAAATTAAGAACACTTCTGCCTCAAATTAAACTTACAACGACTACAACATCAGAAACAAACACAGGAATCAAACAAAAACCACGTCAATTAGAGAGAGTACCAATTCAAAACAACTCTCCCTATCTCGATACTTTGATCAGGTTCTTGCTGAATCACTTAGATAATCTCTGCTAGCTGAATTTATTGATACACTGTATAAGAGTGTGTGTGTGTATGTGTGTATATATATATATAAAGAGAGAGAGAGACAGACCCAATCATGGTCATTTTGAGCGAAGATTTAAGGGGAAGCTGGGAGAGGAATACAGTGTCGTCGGCGAGTTTGGATCCAATTTTGGGGTAGAGAAGCTTCTGGCGTTTGGGAAGAACATTGGTGACTTCGCAAATACGCCGTTTGAGCTCTCCTATGGTGTCGTCGCCGCAGACTCTGACGGTGTACTCTTTCCCGCTCCATTTCACCGTCAGTGTCAGTTCCTCCACCGTCACCGGCGATGACGCTGACGACGATTCACCCGCCATTCAGAGATTGGGGAATGGTCTAAGAGTCGGCGCAGGTCGCTCCGTCCCAGGGTTTAAAGACGTGGGAAGAATTGCACTTTTCACCCCCAAAATGTTTTAAAATTCCTATCTTTATATCTTAAAAAATTAATTTTCTCATATTATACTATTAGTTATTATCTGTGCCTGAAAACATAGAGTAATAAAAAATGATAAATAATAAATATATTTGTATTCATATCCAAAATTAAATTACAAATATAGATAAGAGATAAATAAATTTAAACATCGTTTAAAATGGGGATGAGATGTGGTGGATGATAGAAAACGGTGATGATTGTGGTGAGTGGCAATGACCATGATGGTGGCGGTGACAATAGTGGTAGGGGTGGTGGCAATGGTTGTGGCGATGATGGTGATGGTGGAGATGGTGGTAGCGACGACGACGATAGTAATAGTTATAGTGGTGGTAGCAATGGTGGTAGAGGTAGTGGTGGGGTTGTCTTAAACACTATTTTTTTTTTAAATATTTATGAAAAAAATTCTTAAAAATATTTTTAAAAAGTTATTTCAAACACACCCTTAGGGCCTTATTTTTTCCCATTAAACTTAGAGTGTTAATATTAACAGTTAAATTAACTTTAAAGTAAAATTTAAAATAATCTGAACCGTAAAAAATAAAAATTATTTTGTTTATCTTTTAAAATTTAAATTATAAGTTATTTTATTATATAAATTTTTTACCTAACATTACCTCTCTTAATGTCGTGCATAGTTACAAAATGACATCACACTAACTTTTGTTACTATTTGTGTAAAGTTTTTTTATCACATAGTATATTTGAAAACAGGACTCAATGGAGCAGTTAGCCTAGTCAAAAGATGCGGCAAAGACTACCATTAAAGCAGCCCAAGCGAGATTTACTATATTCACGTGAATTATATCAGTGAGGGTGTAACGTAAGAAAATTAATTTTTAAGGATAAAAGTTAAGAATTTTAAAATTTTTTGGTGGTAAAAAGTGCTGTTCACCTAAAGCCGTGGGCATCCAGGCAATAACCGATAGAAATGGTTCTTCTGTTCGATGAAGTTGGAAGATGCCACGGAATCCGGATATTCAAGTTGGGACGAGGTCGAAAACATTTTGGGCTGAACTTTCGAGATGGGCCAAACTCAATATGCAAAACTTCACTTGTCTTCTCTATCATATCATCTACCTACTTCATAAGACTTCATACAGATAAGAAGATCGAAATCACTTCTAAAGTCTTCAATAATCGTATCGACAACAAGCATAAGATAGAAGTCGGTGTGCGTCGAAACACATGTAACATAAAAAGATAAAAATCGGATATTATAAGGATAAAGATGATGGCTAGACACCTAGTTCAAATATTATTATAATCCATCATCAGTAAATACNCACCGTCAGTGTCAGTTCCTCCACCGTCACCGGCGATGACGCTGACAACGATTCACCCGCCATTCAGAGATTGGGGAATGGTCTAAGAGTCGGCGCAGGTCGCTCCGTCCCAGGGTTTAAAGACGTGGGAAGAATTGCACTTTTCACCCCCAAAATGTTTTAAAATTCCTATCTTTATATCTTAAAAAATTAATTTTCTCATATTATACTATTAGTTATTATCTATGCCTGAAAACATGNATAGAAACTAGTAGTTTTACCTAAAATTCGGTTTCAATTACTCTATCAACCCTTTTGTTATTTGTCACCACCTAGATCACACAAAACATGTATTGGAGCGAGAGCCGGAGCATGAAAGTACAAAATGTGAACAAGAGTTAAGAGTAAGAGTGTCATTGAGTGCGTCAAATTTATATATATGACATTGTGATACATATAAAAAAAAGANGGAGTAATAAAAAATGATAAATAATAAATATATTTGTATTCATATCTAAAATTAAATTACAAACATAGATAAAAGATAAATAAATTTAAACATCGTTTAAAATGGGGATGAGAGGTGGTGGATGATAGAAAACGGTGATGATTGTGGTGGGTGACAATGACCATGATGGTGGCGGTGACAATAGTGGCAGGGGTGGTGGCAATGGTTGTGGCGATGATGGTGATGGTGGAGATGGTGGTAGCGACGGCGACGATAGTAATAGTTATAGTGGTGGTAGCAATGGTGGTAGAGGTAGTGGTGGGGTTGTCTTAAACACTATTTTTTTTTTTTAAATACTTATGAAAAATAATTTTTAGAAATATTTTTAAAAAGTTATTTCAAATATACCCTTAGGGCCTTATTTTTTTCCATTAAACTTAGAGTTAATATTAACAGTTAAATTAACTTTAAAGTAAAATTTAAAATAATCTGAACCGTAAAAAATAAAAATTATTTTGTTTATCTTTTAAAATTTAAATTATAAGTTATTTTATTATATAAATTTTTTACCTAACATTACCTCTCTTAATGTCGTGCATAGTTACAAAATGACATCACACTAACTTTTGTTACTATTTGTGTAAAGTTTTTTTATCACATAGAATATCTAAAAACAGGACTCAATGGAGCAGTTAGCCTTAGTCGAAAGATGCGGCAAAGACTACCATTAAAGCAACCCAAGCGAGATTTACTATATCCATGTGAATTATATCAGTGAGGGTGTAACGTAAGAAAATTAATTTTTAAAGATAAAAATTAAGAATTTTAAAATTTGTTGGTGGTAAAAAGTGCTGTTCACCTAAAGCCGTGGGCATCCAGGCAATAACCGGTAGAAATGGTTCTTCTGTTCGATGAAGTTGGAAGATGCCTCGGAATCCGGATATTCAAGTCGGGACGAGGTCGAAAACATTTTGGGCTGAACTTTCGAGATGGGCCAAACTCAATATGCAAAACTTCACTTGCCTTCTCTATCATATCATCTACGACTTCATACAGATAAGAAGATCGAAATCACCCCTAAAGTCTTCAATAATCGTATCGACAACAAGCATAAGATAGAAGTCTGGTGTGCGTCGAAACACATGTAACATAAAAAGATAAAAATCGAATATTATAAGGATAAAGATGATGGCTAGACACCTAATTCAAATATTATTATAATCCATCATCAGTAAATACGATAGTATTGGATAGAGTGACAAAATCTTACTTTATGTCAATTGAGAACATAGAAACTAGTAGTTTTACCTAAAATTCGGTTTCAATTACTCTATCAACCCTTTTGCTATTTGTCACCACCTAGATCACACAAAACATGTATCGGAGCGAGAGCCGGAGCATGAAAGTACAAAATGTGAACAAGAGTTAAGAGTAAGAGTGTCATTAAGTGCGTCAAATTTATATATATGACATTGTGATACATATAAAAAAAAGAGGATGTTAAAGTGAATGGAAAAGTTGAAGGGGGAGAGTAGAGACAACTTACCAACAAGAACAATGGGAACACATGATCCCACATCGATGGCTTACCAGCAAGATCAATGGAAACCCAATTATAGATATAACCTGGCATCCCACATCAGTGGTGTATAGGAGAGTTAAAAGGGGGACATTTATAAATATTTAGAGGTACGCTTACAAATATTACAGGTACATACTTCAACTTCAAGTGACTGGACTTCACTAATTTTCATAGAAGCATGAGACTTATGGTCAATTTTCAGAAACAGTAAAAAAGCACTAATAGATCGACACAGTAACATAGAATTTAAAATCGCAATAGTCTTCGTATCCAAGTCTCCAAGTCTCTGTTGTTGGNTATAAATATTTAGAGGTACGCTTACAAATATTACAGGTACATACTTCAACTTCAAGTGACTGGACTTCACTAATTTTCATAGAAGCATGAGACTTATGGTCAATTTTCAGAAACAGTAAAAAAGCACTAATAGATCGACACAGTAACATAGAATTTAAAATCGCAATAGTCTTCGTATCCAAGTCTCTGTTGTTGTTGGTACAGTGGTGTAGGAGGCGCCCTTCTTTTCTTTTTCACTCTATTTATCTTTTGAAAGCAGATGACAAATGACTAAAGAGTGGGTAAAGGACTTTTATGACTCAACATTTTTTTAGACGTTTATTTATTTCAACAGATTTGTTATGTGATTGCCCCTTATTTTTTTTTTTATTTCAGTATCCTGTACCCAATTTTTTTGACCCAATTAATTTTATTTTATCTAACTTAATAGGGCCGCCCTAATTGAAATCGTCCCAAAAATTCAAAAAAATATATAAAACATAGGTAAAAATAAAAAAATTTAGAGTGGGCCCAAGNTAGACGTTTATTTATTTCAACAGATTTGTTATGTGATTGCCCCTTATTTTTTTTTTTTTTTATTTTAGTATCCTGTACCCAATTTTTTTGACCTAATTAATTTTATTTTATCTAACTTAATAGGGCCGCCCTAACTGAAATCATCCCAAAAATTCAAAAAAATATATAAAACATAGGTAAAAATAAAAAAATTTAGAGTGGGCCCAACCCCCCTAGCCCTACTTCCCTCCGCCAGTGATGATTGCCGATCAAACATTCTTTGGTTGATCAATGCGGTTGACCCATGAAGTCATTGCCAAAGTTGTTGATTTTAAATCCTCTTATCTGTGATTACCTTTGACAACTCAAAGTTTTGTTTGGCATTCTTGCAATTATTATGAAATCTAGCCACACCCCCTTTTTCCATTACATGATGAACTTATTCCTAACCTTATAGTCAAGAGATGAGACTTCAAATTGAGACAGGCAATGGCGTGTAAAAGGCATTTGTAATGCACAACAACAATAAAAAAAGAAAAAAGTCAACAAAGGAAGTATTTTAGAGAATTTTGTCAAAGCCAATATTGCTCAACGTCAATGCTTGGGATGAAGCTTCAACAATGGTAATCAAGGGCGGACCAATGAGTGGGTTGAAGCCCAGAGTAAAAAATAAAAATAAAAAATTACCACTAAGTATTAGTCCACCCCCACCCAAAAAAAAATCTTCCAACCCAACCCAACCCAAACCCACCTGCAAAACTTCTCCAAAATNATATTGCTCAACGTCAATGCTTGGGATGAAGCTTCAACAATGGTAATCAAGGGCGGACCAATGAGTGGATTGAAGCCCAGAGTAAAAAATAAAAATAAAAATAAAAAATTACCACCAAGTATTAGTCCACCCCCACCCAAAAAAAAATCTCATCCAACCCAACCCACCTGCAAACATGCAAAGCTTCTCTCTCAGGCGAGTCCCTTCCCCAAATATCCGGACAAGCAACGGCGCAATACACAGGCGGCTCCTGCTCTTGGTCCAATCCTTCCATCAAATCTCTCTCTCAAGACTCTAGTCTCTACAGATATATCACACAGGCCACAACTATGAGGATCAGGAAACTTTTTCCACCATCTTCTCTCTCTTCAGTCCCTGACTTAGATGGACTAAACCTTCTTCCATTTGAGTTCGTTGCCTTGGAAGCATGCCTTGAGGCTGCTTGTAGTTCCTTGCATAATGAAGTAAATGAAACTCCACTTTGTTACTGCTCAATTTGGGTATTTTTCAATTTCCTTTTTTCTAATTTCCTATTTTGTTTTTTGGGTTATTTTGAAATAGTTGAGGACATTGGAGCAAGAAGCTCATCCAGCATTAGACAAGCTGACTTCCAAAAGGTTTAATTCTGGACGTGTTCAACAGTTCAAAAGGTTTCCTTCATTAAGCTTGTAAGTTGTAACTCTGTTTAGAATGCATGGTTTAATTTTCTGACTGCTAGTGTTGGAACAGCATGTGGCAATGCCTATGAAAATAAGGAAATAGAACTCTGTTTAGATTGAATCTCAAGCCTTGAATTTTGGAAAAGAACTCAGGCAATCCGTTGCAAATTAAATCAGTTGTAACTTTGTTTAGAATCTCAAGCCTAACATTATAGATCAAATGCATGAAAAGAACTCAGGCTTTGAATATAAGGAAATAGTTTACTAGCGACGGATTGCCTGAGTTCTGTAACATTTAGGATCCATAAAACTTAATTGATTAAGAAAATTAGACAAATGATGTACCCATCCTTATACATGAAAAGAACTCAAGCCTTGAATACATGAAAAGAACTTAGGCAATCTGTTGCAAATTAAATCAGTTGTAACTCTGTTTAGAATCTCAAGCCTAACATTATAGATCAAATCATAAGAAGAGCATAAGCAAGCATAGATCAAATCATAGATTCAATTGCATTAGCAAACTCTGCACTAAGAATGGATTCTCGAAGCTTCTTTTTGTGAGTTTGTAGATTGCAAATTATTAAATTAATCATAAGAGTTGGAGAAAAAGGACACAAGGTAAATTTTAGTGATAGAATCATCAAACAATCTGCAATAAGTTTTAAAGTATTTTTTGGCTGAATGTTTTTTAAAACTAATAAAGAGCAAGCAATTATTCAATTTACTTAACTCCAAGTACAAAGGCCATTATAGACTCCTTTCTTACCTTAATCAAATTCAAAATGATAATAGGGTTCCCGTATCTCCCGAAATCCTTCAAATCCTTCAAACATTTCATCTCAAATCAAATTTAGGAATATCCTCATGCACAATCTGTTATGTCTCAACATCATTAGCAACTCTGCCCACACAAATAGCTCCCTCATCCAACAAATCTATTAGTCTAACAAAATTCAATCTATCAGGGTTGACTGTTTTTTGAAATCCTTCAAACATTTCGTCTAACAAATCATTTTTTTTTGGGTGNTAATAGGGTTCCCGTATCTCCCGAAATCCTTCAAATCCTTCAAACATTTCATCTCAAATCAAATTTAGGAATATCCTCATGCACAATCTGTTATGTCTCAACATCATTAGCAACTCTGCCCACACAAATAGCTCCCTCATCCAACAAATCTATTAGTCTAACAAAATTCAATCTATCAGGGTTGACTGTTTTTCGAAATCCTTCAAACATTTCGTCTAACAAATCATTTTTTTTTGGGTACAAATTAATTATGTATCAATTGGATTTGTATTGATTGGATATCAATTGAATGTGCAATTTGGGTAAGATATGTTCCTAGGTGATATTTGTTTCTCTAATTTTTAACCCTATCTCTACTTTATTAGGATGAAAAATCAAGAACGAAAAAGAGCAAAAATAATTTTTTCGTTCTTCAAAAAGAAAAGTGGAGAAGAAACATCAAATTCTAGTTTTAAACCTTTGAGTCTAGTAGAAACATCAACAAGTGTTGATGTTCTTATGATTCTTGCAGTTGTTGAACCTCAACCTCAAACAAAAGTTTCAAAGATTTCTTTTGATGAGAATGAACTTGAACGAGATCCTACATTGCGTATTCCGATATGGNCGTTCTTCAAAAAGAAAAGTGGAGAAGAAACATCAAATTCTAGTTTTAAACCTTTGAGTCTAGTAGAAACATCAACAAGTGTTGATGTTCTTATGATTCCTGCAGTTGTTGAACCTCAAGGTCCTCAACCTCAAACAAAAGTTTCAAAGATTTCTTTTGATGAGAATGAACTTGAACGAGATCCTACATTGCGTATTCCGATATGAAAATATCCTGCTTATAATCAAGATGAAGTTAGACATGCTTATATAAAGTGGGGACCAAATCAACCTATCTTGACTGAGTATTCGAGGACTAAAACTGGAGTTCAAATTCGAAGATTTCAAGAAAGTTGGTACAAAAAATTTCCATGGCTAGAGTATTCTATTTCAAAAGATGTNTTGAACGAGATCCTACATTGCGTATTCCGATATGAAAATATCCTGCTTATAATCAAGATGAAGTTAGACATGCTTATATAAAGTGGGGACCAAATCAACCTATCTTGACTGAGTATTCGAGGACTAAAACTGGAGTTCAAATTCGAAGATTTCAGGAAAGTTGGTACAAAAAATTTCTATGGCTAGAGTATTCTATTTCAAAAGATGTGGTATTTTGTTTTTCGTGCTTTGTTTTTCAAGGTCATAAACCTCTACATTCTGCATTTACCATTGATGGTTTTAGTAGCTAGAAGAGAGTGAATAATGGGGTCAAATGTGTTTTCTTGTCACATATGGGAGGTCCTGCTTCCACACACAATAATGCTGTAAGAAATGTTGAGGCATTGAAGAAAATATCAGTGCACATTGATAAAGTTATGAATGTTCAAAGTTCAGAAGAAATAAAGAGAAATCGATTGTGTCTTAAGGCTACTATTGATAGTGTTCAATGACTTACTTTACAGGGATGTGCCTTGAGAGGTCATGATGAATCTGTAATGTCAAAAAATCGTGGTAATCTAATTGAGATGATTAGTTTGATGACAAAGTTGAATGTTGAGATAAATGATGTTGTCTTAGAGAAAGCTCCAGGAATACAAAGTATACGTCTCCTATGATCCAAAAAGATGTTTTGCATATTTTAACTACTAAAGTAAGAGAAAAATCCGTGAAGAAGTTGAAAATGTCAAGTTTTGTATTTTGGTTGATAAAGCAAAGGATGCATCAAATAAAGAACAGATGACAATTGTTCTGAGATTTGTTGATGTTCAGAGTTTTTTGCATGAGAGATTTTTTGAGATTGTGCATGTTAAAGATACCAATTCTTTAACTCTTAAGAAGAAAATATCAAAAGTTCTTACTCGACACAATTTACACATTTGAGATTTACGAGGTCAGGGATATGATGGTGCTAGCAACATGCGTGGTGCATTTAATGGATTGCAAGCTTTGTTCCGCAATGATTGTGAGTGTGCATACTATGTTCATTGCTTTGCTCATCGTTTACAACTTGCATTAGTTGCAACTGCTGAAGATGAGATTTCAATATGGCAATTCGTTTCCAAATTGACATGCATTGTCAATCTTATTAGTGTTTCTCCTAAGTGTCATACAGAACTGTGATCTGCCCAAGCTACTAAGATTGAAAGGGGGATAGCTAGTGGTGAACGAGAGACTGGTAAAGGGGCTAATCAGATGGGTACTTTGCATCGAGCTAGTACTACTAGTTGGAGCTCACATTTTGAATCCATTTGTGGTTTGATAGATATGTATGATGCTATCATTAGTGTGTTTGAATGTATGGTTAACAAATGATCTTCAAATACAATTCATGGGAAAGCTGGTGGTTCTTTAATGGCAATGAAGTCCTTCGATTTCATATTCATATTGCATCTTATGCACAAGATTATAGGAATTACGGATATGCTTTGTCGGGCATTGCAACATAAATCAATAGATATTTTGAATGCAATGAATTTAGTCTCATCGACAAAATCATTGCTTCAAACCTTGCGAGCAGAAAGTTTTGATTATCTCCTTGACCATGTGAAATCAATTTGCATGAAATTTGATGTCAATATACTTGATATGAGCACTCAATATAAAGAGGCAAGACGTTCATGTCAACNTGTCGGGCATTGCAACATAAATCAATAGATATTTTGAATGCAATGAATTTAGTCTCATCGACAAAATCATTGCTTCAAACCTTGCGAGCAGAAAGTTTTGATTATCTCCTTGACCATGTGAAATCAATTTGCAAGAAATTTGATGTCAATATACTTGATATGAGCACTCAATATAAAGAGGCAAGACGTTCATGTCAATAGAATGATAATATTACAGTTGATCATCACAATCACATGGACTTATTTAATGTTACGATTGATCATCAGTTGGAAGAGTTACATAGTAGATTCAATGAAGAGACAATGGAATTGCTTATGCTCAACTCTGTTTTAGATCCTCGNAGGCAAGACGTTCATGTCAATAGAATGATAATATTACAGTTGATCATCACAATCACATGGACTTATTTAATGTTACGATTGATCATCAGTTGGAAGAGTTACATAGTAGATTCAATGAAGAGACAATGGAATTGCTTATGCTCAGCTCTGTTTTAGATCCTCAGGACAACTTTAAATCTTTCAATCCTAATCGCATTTGTTTACTTGCTGAGAAGTTTTATGCAGCTGATTTTGATAGACAAGACATGCATCATTTGAAATGTCAATTGAATCATTATCAATTTGATGTGGTTTGCCATGAGAGGTTTCAAAGTATGTCTACAATTTCAGAATTATGTCGTTGTTTAATAGAAACAAATAAGGTAGAGTCCTACAATTTGATTGATAGGTTGATTTGTCTTATTTTAACTCTTTCCGTTTCTACGGCAACTTCAGAAAGAGCATTTTCAGCCATGAAACATGTCAAAAGTACTCTTCGTAACAAGATGGAAGATGAGTATTTGACTGATTCGTTAGTTGTCTACATTGAAAGAGAAATAACGGAATCAATCGATACAGATTCAATAATAGATGACTTTTGTTCTAGGAAGGATCGAAGAGTCCAATTTTATTAGTAAGTGTTTATGAGTTTACATTTGTATTTTATTAGTCGAACGAATGCTTAGCTTAGCCTGGGATAAACAAAAATCATGACTCCGTCCTTGATGGTAATAATAACCATAACTNAAGAGTCCAATTTTATTAGTAAGTGTTTATGAGTTTACATTTGTATTTTATTAGTCGTACGAATGCTTAGCTTAGCCTGGGATAAACAAAAATCATGACTCCGTCCTTGATGGTAATAATAACCATAACCAGAAGTCATGACCTAATTCATCAAATAATGGTGCTCTCTTACACCACGTAACGACTGTGATATTCAATTGAATAATATTTTGTTAGTCTTGGAAAATTCATAGAAATCTATTGTTTATAGTCAACTACGAGGTGACAATAACTTTCTTGTCGAATTCTCACAATCTAATTTTTCTATTGAGGATCTCAAGTTCAGGACAACACTAACGATAAAGCGTAGATTGGATAGACTCAACACATTTTCAAATAAGAGTGGTCTCCTTGCTAGCTAGTCATCAATCTTNTATTGTTTATAGTCAACTACGAGGTGACAATAACTTTCTTGTCGAATTCTCACAATCCAATTTTTCTATTGAGGATCTCAAGTTCAGGACAACACTAACGATAAAGTGTAGATTGGATAGACTCAACACATTTTTAAATAAGAGTGGTCTCCTTGCTAGCTAGTCATCATTCACCCACTACATCAACAACTGATGAAGTGTGGCATCAATCTAAAATTTCGTTTGAGTCTTCTGGTAGTCTGAACAATCATCCTTGTGGAAGTTGTCAACTTGACAAGTGAGATTGTTTGTCTTTTAGTTTAAGCGATTATATTCCTAATAAACCNAAATTTCGTTTGAGTCTTCTGGTAGTCTGAACAATCATCCTTGTGGAAGTTGTCAACTTGACAAGTGAGATTGTTTGTCTTTTAGTTTAAGCGATTATATTCCTAATAAACCGATTATTAAAGATTCATTCAAATTCTTGGAGATTGGCTCCTATCGAATCTATATATAGTTTTCGTTTTTATGTTTTGTTTGTTGATGATGTAGCCCATTATGTCTTATCCTCTCAAATGTAAATCAAAAGTGCTTCTTTGCTGCATCAAATTTGAAAAGATGATTGCAAATATTTTTTATGCTCATGTTAAATTTTTTTCTAAGCGATGGCGGTGGTAAATCTAAATCTCTTGTTTTTGATAACTCTTTGGCTGGAAAAAATATGATCCATATGTTATTTTGTACACACTTCAACAAAATGGTGTGATTGAACAAAAAGTATAAACATATTATGGGGGCTAGTTAACCGTCTTGTTTTCAGTATCCTCACAAGTTATCTCTTATGAATAAGACCTAGGTTGATGGAATCGCAGCTGATCAACAAGAAGAACAATTAGAAATCCTAAGCCAAATAGACGCGAGATATATATATATATCTACATAATAGGGGACAAGACAATTCAAATTCTTCAAGACATAAACTTATATCAAGGCTTTTCGAGGTATAAATAATTTTAGAATTAGTGATCCGACGAACCGAAATGACCCCAAAATTGTTTGGTAGGACAAATAAACATATAGATAAATATCAATATCTAAAAGTAGTTAAGTTTGTTCTTTATTATTCAATTGCCAACCAATGTTCCTAGGTTATGAAAATCTGAATCCCACAAAAGTTGTTTGGCCAAAATAATCTAATAAAATCCACAAAAGTAAATTAAGTTTGCAAAAATTTTAAAATCAGAATACCATTTCAAGCTTGTATTTGAGTTTGCATGAATGAATCTTAATTTATTTTTGAGTAATAATGTGATTTTTTAAATTAAAAGATATGGTATACAAAAATAGGCTTGGCAAATATGACATGATATTTAACTCTTATATTCTTTATACGTAATCCATCAATTTTTTTTTAAAAAAAAATTGCACATGGTGCACGACTAGTATCTTAAGGGTCAAATAACAAAGATAGAATATCAATCATAGAGAAAAAAGATTAGAGGCATGGACAAGTTGAGTAAATACAATCAATTACAATTTTGGCAATATATTATTTTGCAATAGCCCATCGTAAAAAGCTTTTGTGATAATTCTCAAGTTTGTCATGATTTTTTTTTAGTTTTTGTGCTAACATAATTTGTGGCAAAAAAGTGAATTTTTCGTGGCACATTTTTCATAACTGTAAGCCTAAAAAGCTCGTCGTAATAAATTTAAGGTCATTTCCAAATTATGCAAGAAAAATTCAGCCACAAAAACAAAACGAGAATTTAGTTAACTCTACACCAACAAAAAGAAGATGTATCATAATGGCTGAAACAACTTAAGAAAGTATAACATTATAACTATCATAGAGAAAAGCACACTTCAAAAAGGAAACACTTTAGTGTCATTCATTTATGATGTCGCTTTACATGTTATGTACTCGCTAAAGAGTTACCGCCATACAAATAAAAGTTCAGAAGATGTATCAGTTCCAACAACTAAAAAAATATATATTTGTTGTAATCACAAAGACAAAATGATAGTCTAATTGACAGTATACGACAAAGTGAATATATGCCTGAACGGTCCAAAAAAAAGAAGAAGAAGGAAGAACAAAATAATGGTAATAGAGAAAAACATTTGAGAAAAGGAAAAAAACTAAGCTCCATTAATTTTTGATGTCATTTTGCTTCTTGTGTACTTACCTTCAATGCTTAATAACATAAAAACACTCTATTAACTGAATAAATAAATAAATAATATATATATATATATATAATTAACAAAAGTCTAGCTTGCACTTGAAAGAAGACTTTGGATTCTTGGATCCAACGATTTGTCACTCACAAAGAAAGGTTAGAAGGGATGCTGAAATATCTCCGGCGATCCCCTTCCGATGTTAAAGTCAGTTTCTGAGGTGGGAAGTGCGAC